TAACCTCATCTTTTGTCAGATATATTACGCATATGGTTAAAGTTCTCAATTCAATGACTCGGAGCGTTTGCGTTACTTGCAATGTCTTCGGCCTTTGCATACTTCATGATACTAACTTGGTGTTAAGTGGCTTACATCATTAGAAATCCTATACTAATCATAAGTGTGGGGACTGTTCTGGTAAATAAAGGGCAAATATGCAAAACTCTGTACGAAGTTCTTCAAGAAATTAAATTTCTTATGGGAGAGTGGTCTGTTGATAAATTGGGCGTTTCACTAAAAAAAAAAAAAGGTTTTCATAGACCCAGTTTCGTGGAATCTTAACAATAGCAATACTCAAATCATATCGAAACGGAAGTTCCTCTAATTTCCTCTTTGTACAGGAAATTGTCAGGACCGAAGTGAATTATTTCTTGCTTCATCCTGTCGTTTAATTAGTGCCCTTTTTCCAATCACTTTTAAGATTTGAATGGTTGAAGATCTACGAGTGTTTACTTACAACAGGGTGAAGTAATGGTAGCCGTACCTGTGGAAAAACCAAAGTGGCAAGGGCTGTTGAGAGCGAAGCAACAGCAATGGCTGATACGATTAACAATAATGGGTGATATTTCACTGTGTCAGAATCTTTACACAGCTGTGTTTCCACCTTCGGCTTTGCCTTAGGTGTGTCCTCTCTGAAAACTAAACCTTCACACGTTTCGGCGTGATCTTCTTGTTTAGATTCCATTTCGAAAGAAACGTTCACCCGCCCGACTTCGGCCTTTGTATCCATTATTGGGTGTTATGATTGTGCCTTTTGTGGAGCAGATCAACTTTAGACGCTTCTGGAGAGGAAAAAACAAGCTTAGACAAGCCAAAAAGATGCTGAAATGCGATGCGATACGATCATATGATCATCACTGACTGATGATAGTGCGAAGAATGACTGATGCGTAAGCTGTCTTAAAATAGGATAAAGACAGGAAGTGTTTGTTTCGACGTAATTCTATAGGTTGTGCAATAAAAGATTGAACTGACCTTAAATGACGATGAAAGCATTATTGAACAAAATGATTATGCTGTTTCGATATTGATGTAGGTTATCATCACCTACCCACTTTCCAACAACAACAACAACAACATCTTTTATTTAAACACGGTGGGTTTAGAGCTAACGTAGCTTATGGGGCTGTGTAACAAATGTTAATCAAATAATAAAAATTAAAATAAAAATAAAAAAATTACAATTATTAAAACTGAATGCAGTCAATAAAAAGTGGAATATGTACAATAAAAGGTATGAATGTGGTCAATAAAAGGCGAAATCCCTGTCAATTTGGGGACGGCCCATTTGTGGTGACTCTTCATTATTAAAGTTCAAGTTTCTGAGGGCGTGAGACTTTTCTGCCCTTTTGGCGTAGTCCCTGGCGCTAACAGCGAATGGTTCTAAAATATTCCAAACAATGGATCCTCTACGAGAAATAGAGTTTTTCGTACAATAAGTTTCAAAACGTTGTGCGCCAACACGATGTTGATGACGGAGGTCATACTTATGCTCTTTCCTTTGGATTATATGTTCCAAGCATGATGGAGTTATGCGGTTGTAGATATCATGAATTAAGGTGGCTATTTTCACCTTATAAGTGTCGAATAAAGAGTCCTAGTCAGCTGTTTTTCTTACGTCCTCAGAAGGCGTGTCGCGCCGGAGGTTATATATAACTCTGGCGGCCCTACAATGTATTGATTCCAGAGAATTAAATTCGTTTTTGTTTGTACAACATCCCCAAATTGGTAGCGCATATGTAATCGAGGGTAAAATGACTAATAAAATATAGATCTAAAAGCGAATTCCTGGGTAAAAAGCGGCTGCGTTTGATCAGATTGAGCTAGTTAACGAACCCTCTCTTGAGCTCCGATATGTGTTTAGACCACGTAAGCTTGTTATCAATGGTTACACCTATCAGTTTAGAACTTAAGGACCACTTCATGAGATGCTGGTTAATTTTTTAACTGCCTAAGGGACCGATAAGATGATTTCGTTTAAGGATCATTCCCTCGCACTTTTTGGGGTGTGGTACTAAGGAGTTATGTTTGCACTAGAGGGCGAGTTCTTCTAGAGCTTTGTTCAGCGTTGTTGTGACCTGGTATACAAATTCACCAACACAGTACATGGTAGTATCATCGGCATACATGAACGTCGTTGCAGTGATAACTGCTTTCGGTAGATGTACAAGCCGAAGAGTATGGGCCCGATTACGGAGCCCTGTGGTATACCTTGTGCAACTTTGGTATTCTCAGTGGGTACGCCATTAATCACAGTATATTGTTCCCGTTCAGATAGATAATTTCTGGAAGTCAATGAATACGGCGCCCACAACTAATTTGTTATCGATTGCTCGTTGCAAAGTTTCAATCAGGTGGATGAGTAATAGCTCTGTCGATCTTCCTTTTCGGTAGGCCCATTGGTTGTCAGTGGCGAGCACTTCGTTTTCCGAGAAAACATGTTTCGTTATCATGTCCGCTACGCACGATTCTAAAATCTTGCTGGGTACGCTTAGCAAGGAGAGGGGCGATTACTCATTTCCGTAGGATCATCTTTTTGGAATACAGGTGTTTATCTAGCCACTTTTCATTTACTATAGACTCTACATTCGCGTATGCTTTGCATGAAAAGGCTTGTCGGCGGGCCAACAATAGCAGTATTCGCGAGTTTTAATAACTTGGTTGATAAACCATCCGGTCCAGTGGCTTTATTATTCTTCAATAATGTTATTTTCCTGTTGATATCAAGGCTAGAAAATTAATATCGGATATACATGGCGCAGGCTTGGAGCATGGATTAGTCAGAAGTTGTGGTGCTTGGAGTTGTCCAGAATTTAATTTCTCAGCTATCTTAGAGAAGAAACAGTTCATAAGGCTCGCCTTCTCCGTGTTTTTTACCGCTAAGCTGTTGTCGTCACGCTTTGATGGACCTATCTTCTTCCTTACTTTGGGGCTGGTAGCTTTGGATAATACATTCCAATACGCCGAGGTGGTCTTCGCCTTCTTCAGTCGATCTCTGAAGTATGCAGCCCTCGCTTTCCTAAGGTCAGATTAGATTCTCAGCCTCTTATAGTTGGCCCATGTATTTGGATCCTTGGTTTCAACAGCTCTCTTGAATAACTTAAATCGGCGATTCATTTTCAACTTGATGGTGTTATTGATCCACCGTGACGTTACGCTTCGCACTTTAATTTCTTTAAGCGGAGCGTGTGAATCGCAAACCCCCCTGAACAACTGATTCCACGCCCAGAGGATGTCATCCATGTCGTCAAACACTCATGCAATGTAGAAGGGTGTTTGTTCCATGTCTGCTTTGAAATTCTCTGTGTTAAATTGTTTGTAGTTCTAGTGTACAATGAGATATCAAGGTATAAGCAAATGAGGTATAGAGGATTTCGTCTTGATGTTTTAACTTCGGCCCTTCGATGGGCCGAAGTCAAACCTAAATTAAAACTTTCTTACTTTAAATGATCCAATGGTTTCGTAGAGGCCACCTTGGATTACATTTAATGCTAAGGTAATTTAACTGGTGGCATGGGATATTTTCCGAAATAGCTACTTTTAACTTCAACTGAATGCTATGAAGGCGTTGAGAAGGATGGGAAAGGAAGTATTAGGAAACTCTTCCAAAGCAAGACATTAGTTCCATTTTTCAACATTGTTTTCAAAGTCCCATCAATCACACAAACTCTTACCTATGGCGGCACCCTTTTCCCCCTTTTTTCAGTATAATGTAATACTAGGCAATTTCAAATGCAGTCAACTGTTTTCGCTTTCGAATTAAGCATTATTTGAATGTCTAAAGCTGAGCTTCCTTTTTCTTTAGGGAGTTGGATGTGGGAGATGGATTTTGTGTAAAACCCACCCAATCCATTCGACTCGGTCGGAAGAAGGGACACCATTTTTACCACTTCACGAAGTTTCTCAGTCCCAGAGGGTTTCACCAATAACCATCTCTCAAGGCTGTCAGCACTTCGACTACAATAAAGTACAACGTATGTCCTCACTGCTGCTTTATTGTTAATTGATTACTTTGTGAATTTGAATTATTAAACTAACACCCTATCTTTGTTCGGCTATAGAACAGTATTTTGTTCACTAAAATGGCCATGATTACCAAGAAATGTGTGAGAAAAGTAAATGTGACCTTTACATACTAGATGAAAAACATACACAAAATCGAAGAGAAGGCATGTTGTGAAGTTAAAACTTTTATTTCTTCACATCAGGTTACCTTTTAGAGCCATATTCCCGACAGTCATTATATGTCAGTTGCTGAAGTCGCGGCGATATTAGGTATTATCCACTTGTGGCTGCTAATACTCCTTTCTGACCTGACATACTTACAAATACTTTTTTCGCCGTTTAGTACAAAACATAAGGAAAAACAAAATATGTTTGGATGCTAACCCAAAGGGACTGAAATCTATATTTGGCATTGGTGAAAAATATCAGTGCGGATTTAAATATGAGAAAGCAACAGTTTGTAGTAAAACTGAGAGGTTTTCTGGGTAAAATGGCTACTTAGTTTCACAAATCTTTCTTCCACTTTTATCCTTAACGCTATCTCGTTGAAACTCGATTTACTCCCATATATTTTGTTTTTAAGTGATATTTTGGATTTCCTAGACTGAAATTTGATTCAGCCAAGCATAACTTCTCGAAATCAGTTTCACGCAAGAAATTAATTACGACTAGATGATATAGGCGGACAGGGGGTTGGTTTGCCCTGAGGTTCCACCTTTGAATGATTATAAATGATAGGAAAGTCTTAGCCTATTAACTTTGACATCATGTAAAGTAAAGACAGTGTGGCTAAATAGGGTGACTCTCGACTAAGTGTGGAAAGTAATGCTACTTTGCTTTGATTTAACATTACTTCGCATTGTGATTGGTCTGGAAAACTCGTGCCATGCTCTTTCTCTCACTTTGAGCAGATAACCCGTTTTTACTTTTATTTTATTTTGATTTTGGTTTTACAACACTCAACTGAAATGCCCTCGGAAAGAAAACCCAGTTTACTGGGCATAATTGAAAAATAGTATCTACGTTTAACCACTAAATTGTTCTTCGTCTCGTTTCTGAATCAACACTGTATTATCTTCTTCACAAAGAGTCCAGTTCATTAAATGGCTTTCCGTTTTTCCTCTTATGACTGACACTCCCAGTAGTGCATATAGCAATACATCGTTGCTTCTCCAGTTGTTAGGGTGCCTTCGCAAGAGCATTTGTAGGTTCTCTCTCTACCCGAGTTGGAGCTTGATAATTTAGCAACTTTCGCATCGTTTGTATCACAGTTTACGCCAATAAATATTTTACCCTGGCAGGAAAAAAAAAGACACTAATTATGATGCTGATGATAATGATAAACTACGTCAAGAGTTTGAAAAGCGGATGAGCAAAACTTTTCTTTCCTCTTCAATGGGTGTACACACGAAGCGACGAAAGCCGACGCCTAAAATCTGGGCAATACTTATTGAAAGTTTTCGATGCCGAAATCGGATATCACGAATACAGCTTTCATGTCTAGGAACGTAGAAAGAGAAAAATCCACGTATACGCTGATACTGGCCTTTGAATGAACGCTGGATCACTGGTTCCCTCAGCGGGCTGGTCGTTCGTGCAAAATCGATTTTTGTTGTCACTTATAAGAGTCATAAAAGCCGGCGTAGCGAATGTTTTGAAAAACTGATACTTGCAAACATTTTTTTGTTCCATGACAGGCCGAGGATATCATTGCTTGGTGTGGGATTAGAGAAATAACCGTAGATGCACCGAAAGGTATGAAATTGTCGGGAAAAAACAAAAAAACGACAACAAAAAGATTTTAACTAACATTTAGTGGCAAAATGAACTTGTCCGACAAGTCCGTGCTGAATTCCATAACGAGTTGTTAAATGTTTTCTTTTCTTTTTTCCTTTGTTTTTTTTTTTTTTGTTGTTTTGTTTTGGTTTTTGTTTTCAAATGATGATGGAGATTTAAGACTTAAAAGAGAGGAAATTCTCCAAAACGATGCGGCCTATGGCTAGAAAGTAATAACTCAACTTTATGACTTTAAGGGAGGCTTTACGACATTTGGACAGCTCCTAGGCCTGGTAAATATTGTCTTGAGTGTTAATATGTCGTAAAGTAATTTTCAATAGAATTTTTTTTTTTTAGGTGAGAATCAAAAGACTAATTTTCCACTCAACTTACATTTTGTTCTGTCGCTACAATTTCTTGTTGGGCGATCCAGTTTGCTGCCATACCAGCGCTGGATAAAGTCTTAAAAATACAGGAACTGGCCCCAGGTCCAGGTGGACCCTGGGTACCATTGAACCCAGATGGTCCACGAAGACCTTGAACACCAGGTAGTCCAAATCGTCCTGCAGGGCCCTGAGTGCCATTACATCCTGGAGGTCCGGGAGGTCCAGCAGGTCCGGCAAGTCCAATGTCACCCTTTGTACCATTATATCCTGGAGGTCCGGCAGGTCCAATTTCCCCATTAGTACCATTGACTCCAGGTGGTCCTCTTATGCTCGTGCTGCCAGTAGTATTTCTTACCTACACAATTAAAAAACAACAACAACAACAATGATATTCACAGTAACCACTGCAATGACAATAATAATGAAAATGATTACAATTGTGGTGATAAGGACAATTAGCACAGTTACAATGAGAATGACAGTGACAGTGACAGCGAAAGTGACAAAGTGACAGTAACATTGGCAGTGAAAGTGAAAGTGGCAGTGATAGTGGCAGTGACAGTTTATGTGACAGTGACAGTGACAATGACAGTAGCAGTGAAAGTGGCAGCGACAGTGACAGTAAAAGTGAAAGTAATACTGACAGTGAAATTGAAAGTGGCAGTGAAAGTGACAGTGTATGTGACAATAAAATTGAAAGAGATAATGACAGTGGCAGTGACAGTGACAATGTCATTGACGGTGACAATGACAATGACCACGACAGTGACAATGAAAGTGACAGTGATAGTGGCACTGGCCCTGCCAAAATGGGAGGCTCTTATATGAAAAGTTGTAAAGAAGGAAAACAACATTGACAATCTTCGAAAATCCTCTTTAACTCATCATGGAAAACAGTCTTATTTTTTTTTTGTTAGGCTTCGAGACATATGTGTACCACGCACTTTGTGATGACCATAAAGTAGCTTAACTTAAAGTGAAAGAGACCATGATATCGAGCAGCTTGGGGCAGTGACTTGGCATTGCTAGGTATCTCTGATCAGGTCTCTGATTGGTTGATTCGAAATTTGGTACGAAATGGCACACAAAAACGCATTCAGGTATATGTACCTTTTGATCCAGTTGCATGATGCTTTGTTGAAAATGCAGAAACCTCTCATTTACGCTTGTATTTAGACCAATCAAAACTTGGACAGCATCCTGCACTGCAAGACGGATATCCTCTAGCTCTTTGTTTTTGCCCTAAAAAATAAAACAGACCAAATTATTGTGTTAGAGAATTAGTGGGCCTACTAAAGTTGATAAAATAAGTAGAGCAGTCCATGTTTTGCTTTTGAACATAATGATGATAGGGACTGTAACAGTGAGAGATTTAGATAACGATATATGCTCAATGTTGGTATTGAAACTTACCTCGTTTTTCATGTTTTCCATATCTTTTTTCATCTGCCATAAAGTAGGAAACTCATGTTAAACTCAGTGCACTAATGACAATTTTTTCCTAATTTAGATAGAACTGAAAATGGATGAATTTAAACTCGCCTTTATCGCTAGCTCCTCCAACTCTGCAGAGACCTAACACAAGGGAGAAAAGAAAAGAAACCACTCAACATCATATCATTTTTCTAATGAATGGTTTATTCTTAGTGATGATTTACAATCATTCTCATTATTCTCATTATTAAGATTAAAAATTTTTATTACGATTATTAGAGGTGAATGAATGACAAACTTACGTTTTTCTTCAGTTCTTTTACATCCCCTGAAACCTATAACAATAAAAAATGTAAATAAATATTCCTGATTGAGTTTCTTTGTACAATAATACTTTCTTGTGATTTCTTATTCATAATGATCTAATGATGATGATCTATTCTTGAGGTGCGCAATTTGCTTGATAAGGTTCGCACGTACTATGCTGCCAAAGTTGGTTCAAAAAACTAGGAGAACACTGGTAATGTCTGGAACAATGACACCCGAGAGGACCTATAGTAATGTTTATCAGGCTCCCCCAGGCACACAACAGCCTGATTAGAAATAACATTTAGATCACCCCATTGAAAAAGTTAAAGCAGAATAAGTGTAATGTTGTTAATACAAAAACGATGCCTCTAGCCTGCGCTCCAGGGAAGTATTAAAGCTCTGTTTAAAATCTATATTTCTATACCATATTTACTAATAATCAGCAAGTTAAAAGTCCTATTGAGGCCCTCAGTCTTATGTACATACATGTACCCATGTATTTCACATCAGTGCACTTTTGCTTTTCACAAATCACGGCTAAAGATTAAGAATTACTCCTACCGAGTAATCTCTTAATGCAGAGAGGTTCCTTTTCAACTCTTGCACATTCTTTTGAAGTTCTGACGTTTCTAGAAAAGGGGAGACAATAAGAAAAACAGAAAATGTAAACAAAAAATGATGAAGCATTTCACATAAAATGATGAACAGATGGATAAATAGATAAAAGATAAAGCAATTAACACATGTTGAAGTTTCATACATTGATAAGCAAACGTTGACACCGTTCACCAAACATCTTTTTAATACAAAAAGGGAGAAATAGGACCAACTTATTCTTGAACTATTGCAAACAATCACTATCAAGAGAATTATTTGTTCAACTCTCAAAAATTTGGTAAGCAAAAGGCCTTTTTTTCGCGCTTGTTATATGCAAACGATCTTTCCAAGTTAGTGCATCATTCTTAAGGAAGAAGGTACATTGTATGCCTATAGTAACAGCACTACATTTAAGAGAAATAATGTCTAAATTGAGAAGAAAAAGAAAATTTCGATCTGCACCTAGAAAAGAGTCGATTATGGCTTGAAGCAGTCTAGCTTCCTTTGAATTTGACAATAGTTTGTTTGTAACGCTTCACCCCACGGATTTTCGGCCAAAATTTTGAAGAATCAGTTTGAAGAAAATCCCATCTCTCATCGCTGAATCTTTCCAAAAGGGTACTAAGCCCCAATTGCTCAAGGATGGCTTCCATAATAGACTTCTTTCTTCGACTTTCCCGCGAAAATAAACCAAAATGGCGGCGTCAGGCTGCGAGGAGCTTGGATCCGACACGCGTGCTTTGCATTGTGGGTAGATCATAACAACGGTTCGATATAACGAAGAAAGGACAGCAAATAAAGCGAAATGTACACGGGGTAATATCGTTTGTACACCATATAATGCGTAAACTATCCTATATAATGTCAAAACACTGCCTATAGAATGACAAAATGTAGGTATAATGGAAAAATCACTACATATAATGCATAAGCACCACATATGGTAGCAAAACCATAGCATATAACGACAAACGTACAGCATATAACGACAAAAGCACAGCTTGCAACATAAATAGCACATATAATGAGAAGAGTACCGCATCTAATAAAAAAAGTACTGCATATAATGGGAACTGCACTGCATATAATAGAGCAAATTGACGTAAGACAGTCCTGGCATTCCATAATTTTTCGTTCCTTGGCTGTAACGCCTGGTTGATTATTTAATTGATTGACACTTGAACGATGGAATGATTGGTTGTTGTTAAGTAGTCGTTTTGCTTGAGTGGTTATAGTCTTTATTATTATTATTATTATTATTGTTATTTTAACTTTGTTTTATAAGGCGATTTTAAACGTTGCATTTCGCTTTCGTCGAAGATTTTAATGATCATGTTTTGAACAATCATGTTTTTTAGGTTCATTTTTTTCCCCGAAATTATAATGGTTATAATTAATTGGCAACAGGACTTAGTGTCGTCCAATTCTATCAGTCATGTTACTAGTGATTGACAATCACTCTTATGATTACACACTGAATTGGACTCCACTCGCTTCTGTAACCATTTTTAATTATCTACATGAAACTTTGAATTTTCTTGGTGTGTATGTTAATCAAAACTTCAATTTCAAAGTTTAGAAAGGGAGGATTGATTTTCATGTTAATAAATGAATTCACGTGTTTAATACCACAAGCCCTATTGAAAACGTGAACATTTATGCTTTCACTATTTTTTATAACCTCATCTTTGGTCAGATATTATTACGCATATGGTTTACTAACGATTTTAGATATTGGAAAAAGCTGTAAAATGGTCAAAGTTCTCGATTCAATGACTCGGAGCGTTTGCATCATTTACAACGTTTCCAGCCTTTTCATACTACATGACGCTAACTTGGTGTTAAGAGGCTCACATCATTAAGATACCCTTTTGAAGAAAGCACTTTATATGTCAAAGATAGATTATTTGCTATTCAACTCGGCCTTATTCAGATACAAATCATGTAGACACAATAGGAATGCCCTTATTTTTTGATTACGGATAAGTATTATGATGGACGGATTTCTCCTCCTATAAACAATTTTCTCAGAAATCGATTTCCCTTCCAACGACGTACATCAAATTTGACCTTCTCGAAATCCGGTCTTAAATTACATACTAAAAAAGCAGTGATTGCGCTTTTCACTATTGATGTTTTTTAAATCCTCATCTTTTGTCAGATATTATTGCACATAGGGTTTACTTTTCGTGCCCTGACTAACAATTTTATATATTAAAAAGAGATAAAAAATGGTTTAAGTTTTCAGTTCAATGACTCGGGGCGTTTGCGACATTTACAATGTCTAGAGCCTTTGCATACTACATGACGCTAACTTGGTGTTAAGAGGCTCAAATCATTAAGATAACCTTATGAAGAACGCACTTTATATGTCAAAGATAGATTATTCGCTAGCTGAATTCGATATTTTTCCCTCTTATCCTAAGCAACCGTGACAACATCCTGCAAGCCACTGAATGTGGCTTGCAGGATCTAATTTCCTCTTAGATAAGAGATGGTAAGGACCTAAGTGAATTATTTTTTGCTTCATCGTGTCGTTTAATTAGTGCAATTTTTCAATCACTTTTGATAATGGAATGGATCAAGACCTACAAGTGTTTAATACTTACAACAGGAAGGAGCAATAGTAGCCTTACCTGTAGAAGCTTCGCTCCGTTTTGTCATGAGTGCCACAGCTAAAACCAAAGTGGCAAGGGCTGTCAAGAGCGAAGCAACAGCTATGGCAGATGCGATAAAGAATAATTGGTTATGCTTCACTGTATCAGAATTTTTATACGGCTGTATTTCGTTTGGTTTTGCCTGTGAAGTGTCCTTTCTGAAAACTACATGGTCATAGGTTTCGGCGTTATCTTCCTGTTTAGATTCCATTTCGAAATAAATATTCTCCTGCCCGACCTTGATCCTAGTACCCATCATCGGGTGGTATGATTGTTGTAGTGTGACCTTCAAGAATGTTCTAGAAGTAGCTGTATCATGCTGAGTTATCCCTGAATCAATATATAAATAGAATCTGTTGTAATGTTACGGAACGTTCTAGATCCTCAACCGTACCTATAAAAGCCGAGTAGATGAAGCGAGCAGTTTAGTTGCTAGTATAGCCCGTCAGATATCAATAAAAGTGTATCCTGCAGAATACAAGACATCCGCACTTCAATTGTGCCGTTTGTGAAACAGATCAACTTTAGACTCTTCTTGGGGCGAAACGTGCTTAGAGAGACCAAAGAGATGCTGAAATTCGATGCGATATGATCATATGATCTCACTGACTCGATGAGAGAGCTATGATTGACTGGTTCTTGAACTGTCTTAAAATAGGATAATGATAGAAAGAATTGGTCTCGACGTAGGCTTATAGACTGTACAATAAAGGATTGAACTGACCTTAAATAATGCACGATTAAAAATGTATATATATTACTGTTACATCACTCTGGAGTGTCAACAATAGGGTTTTAACAATTAGGCGAGCGTTTACAACTTAAATGGCTTTTATTTCCCCTAAGGTAAATACGCCATCAAGCGAAACTTGCGTGAAATTACTAAATCAGGCCACCTGAGTTTCCCAAAAATTCGAAAAGAAAATTCTAATTGGAAATTAACAATACAATTCCTGAACTGAGAGCTGGCATAATTGTTCGAATGCGTTTGGCTTGAAGTCATCACCAGCACTTTACCACCGGCCACAGAACTTTTACAGGCGTTATTAACATACGTTATTATTGTCCGAAAAAGCACTTTTCTGGCGGCTGAGCTATCCTTTACCAAACCTTTTTCGGTTTTTATGCTTTGTACATTTTTAATGGCGCAAAAATACTCTGATTTCTTTCACGAACGCGGCGAAAAAGTGTCGCGAACATAGCAATGGCTTCTCGATTTTAATTGGCTGCTTTCATTTGTTTCAGCGTGCTAAAACACACGAACCGACAAAGTGATTATATTTAAATTCTTAGCATCATCTTGATAAGCTTTCGCTCGAGTTAAAATCGACTACCGTTATACTCGAGAAAAAGAAAGAGATCCGATCAGGTGGGTTGTGACTTCACTAGAAGGACATGAGATATCTTAGAACACAGAAGGAATGAAGTAGTTTGTATCTCAAGCCAAATCGACCGGACCGCTCTTACGAAGTCTTAAGAGAGTGTCTCTGTAAGAGCGGTCCGGTCGATTTTGCTTGAGACACGGATTTCGCTCGTTTCTCGTGTGTTGTAAGACATTCATGTACCTATACTAAAACCACAATCAGTTTGATCGGATCTCTTTATTTTTCAGAGTTTTACGGAAATTAAATTTCACTCGAGCGAAGGCTTGTCGTGACACTTTTCAAGACTTTAATTTCATACAACTTTGGAGGACAATTTACAAAAAACTACGGAACTCAGCAAATACCACAGGCATGTATATTAACTCTATCTTTTCTATCGAGGCGACTTTCGTAAACATCACGTGTCAATCAAGGAAACAGTAAGATTCGAATGACACCTTATCGGTTCGCCTAAATCACACACGCCAAAACCGATCAAATTCAAGGTAAATTTTTGAAAAAGTGAGGCGTTCTTAACTGATCCAACTAACATAGCTAGGAAGTAGGTGCCACAGAAAAGGTAACTACAGAAAAAAAAACTTTGCGGCCCGACCTTTACGAGAACTTTATAACTCCGTGAACTTACCTAATTTTCGGCAATCTCCAAGTTTGGCCGCCATTTTGAGGGACTTGTCAACATGAAGCGTAACCGATATAAATCAAGCAGGTAGATCTAAAACCGTCAGAAATACATACGAAAGCAATTCACATGAACTTTGCTCTTAATTCAAGCGGCAAAATTTGAAATTGTTCGTTAAACTTACCATTCCCATGCGACCATTTATTCCAACAATTCAAACACTACAACTTTCTGAATTCCCCTCGTCGATTCCACCGCAAGAAATAACCTGTGCCACCCAAGCTTCGACTCGAATGTGAAATACGAATCAAATAACATAACTGCTTCATCTTCGCAGCTATATCACGCTGGTATTTTGATTTTCCGATCGACAAGAACGGTGATCAGGAATCGATCGGTTTGTTTACCTCATAAACCTGACCGCTGACCAGCTGCTGAGTGAAAACAGTACGGTTCAGTGGCGAGGGGCGGGGTGAGGGGTGGGTGCAGGCAGATTATCAGAAGATTTTTGGGAACATTCGAACATATACATTAAAGTATCATGATAAACATTAGGATTCTCAGTCTTAATGTGAAGGCATGCTTCGTGTTGCAGACTTTTTTTATTTTATTTAGTATTCTTTTTTATTTCAAATACATTTCGTTCCAAATAGGACTAGCATCAGTTCATAGATTTAAAAACAAATCTTTACCACGTAAATAAATGTGTTTAGATAATCGAAATAACCATTGAACCTATTGTATCGCACCGGAAATAACGTTTCTTGTCTTTGCCCAACTCTGAGAGCGTGGAGCGGCAAAGACGCGAGATACGAGTCTCGCGTCTCGCGGCTTCTCCATGCTCACAGGATACGCGTGACCTCACTATCTTTAAGAAAAATAAGAGACTGCTCGAAGTCTGTATTCCGTTCAACCATTTCATAAGAGTGACGCGAGTCTTTCAATTGAGTGAGAAAGTCACAAACCCATTCTTTACCTTACGAGCGTAACCACTGACTACTTACGAATTACAATAGGCTTCTCCCTGACGCGGAAATTGAATTCGTGTCGAATATACAAAGTTATAGTGAGTTCCTTTAGATCTCCCGAACTTGTATCGCGTTGGAAACAATTACAAGCACGGGAAGAAGTCGTTCATTAGCGAGACGTTCATTATGTCTCAGGACTCCTTTTTGAATAGCAAAGATGGAAAAAACTTTGGTTCATCGTGTGGCTTAAGTGGTTTGGTACGACTGTCTGATTGCAATGACGAAGTAAAACATCATTTGATAAGCTGCTACCTGTCTAAAGAGGTTTTTAAGTGAAAATGAGCTAATCTTGGCAAAGATTGGCCTATTTCACCTCGCTCAGGAGGATAAACAAAAAAATGTGGATTTGCTATAGGCATCGCCACACTCTGGGGAAGTTTTGGAGAAGTGCAAAGGTAACATGTCAGTATCCTGATCATGATGGTGTCAGGAAGCGTAACCAAGGCAGAGATGTAATTACCTTGCATATGTCTCAGGACATTCCAAAGCTGTTTGGAGTTATTATTCCAGTTGAATCAGTTAGTCTTCAGTAACATTTTCTGTTATCTATTTTTGTCACGTGACATATCTGCTCGTAAAGAGAAGAAATTCTTTATTAGATGAAGGGTACTTAAGTACACATCACGTTGAAAAAAACCAGATCTATGTGTAAGTGCTAAGAAAAACTCTCCCCACCGATTTTTTCTTACATTCTGTTAATCAAAAGTTTCAATAATTATAAAGGCTTTCTTGTTGATCGTCTTAATAGTAACAGTTTCCAGCATCCAAGGGGAGCAAAAGAGAGAACAATTTTATGTGTAGCTAGATAAGGCGACATGCCGGCTTTATACTTCTCCCGGCGTGATAACGATAATGATGACAACAATGGGCAAAAAGCACCGTCCGCTAATGATGACGATTATCATAGTTATTAACAAATCTCAGTTATAGTCCTGAAAAAAATATTAAGGGGTCCTTTGAGCAATCCACTTAATCTCGCCAGAAGTCAAAGTTGCCTACACTCATTCTAAGGTTCGTGCGATTTTACGACGAATTTTCAATTCCGGTGTGTTGCATGCGCGACTTTTGATAGAAAAAACCTGCACGCGCCATAACTTAAAAGAACGTGTCAGCGGAATGAATCAAATCTCTATCACTTTGCATACATTCTTGGGAACAGAAAAAATTACTTAGAGCAAACATTCTACGTATAGTGTTCAATCCGTGCAATGGGGCATAAATAAAAGGTTCTGGTGTAAAAGACACCTTATTTTATACTACTGATGACAAGCAAAAAGGTTATATGGGTACCCGGTTAAAAATATATTGATAACTCTATTAATTAATACCAGTTCTAATTTAAAGGAGAAAGTTATGAGAATAAAATAAAAGTTGTCTGTACCACGAATCATGCCTTCACTGTTTAGACTGATAGTCCTAGAGCTTTTTGAGCATGTATTCGAATATCTTATGACGATAAGCCCGCCACCCACCCCACCCCGCCCTATGCTGTTTTCACTTAGCGGCTGGTCGGCGGTCACGTTTATGAGGTAAACAAACCGATCGATTCCTGATCACCGTTCTTGTCGATCGGAAAATCAAAATACCAGCGTGATATTGCCGCGAAGATGAAGCAGTTATGTTACTTGATTCGTACTTCACATTCGAGTCGAAGCTTGGGTGGCACAGGTTATTTCTTGCGGTGGAATCGACGAGGGGAATTCGAACACTAGTTGTAGTGTTTGAGTTGTTGAAAGAAATGGTCGCATGGGGATTGAAAGTTTAACGAACAATTTCAAATTTTGCCGCTTGAATTAAAAGCAAAGTTCATGTGAATTGCTTTCGTATATATTTCTGACGGTTTTAGATCTACCTGCTTGATTTATATCGGTTACGCTTCATGTTGACAAGTCCCTCAAAATGGCGGCCAAACTTGGAGATTGCCGAAAATTAGGTAAGTTCACGGAGTTATAAAGTTCTCGTAAAGGTCGGGCCGCAAAGTTTTTTTTCTGTAGTTACCTTTTCTGTGGCACCTACTTCCTAGCTATGTTAGTTGGATCAATTAAGAACGCCTCACTTTTTCAAAAATTTACCTTGAATTTGATCGGTTTTGGCGTGTGTGATTTAGGCGAACCGATAAGGTGTCATTCGAATCTTACTGTTTCCTTGATTGACACGTGATGTTTACGAAAGTCGCCTCGATAGATAAGATAGAGTTAATATACATGCCTGTGGTATTTTCTGAGTTCCGTAGTTTTTTGTAAATTGTCCTCCAAAGTTGTATGAAATTAAAGTCTTGAAAAGTGTCACGACAAGCCTTCGCTCGAGTGAAATTTAATTTCCGTAAAACTCTGAAAAATAAAGAGATCCGATCAAACTGATTGTGGTTTTAGTATAGGTACATGAATGTCTTACAACACACGAGAAACGAGCGAAATCCGTGTCTCAAGCAAAATCGACCGGACCGCTCTTACAGAGACACTAGGGACTTTAAGAACTGAGAACGCGGTGGTCTGGAAAACGTGAGGACCGAGAGTGGGGCTGGGGCGAGCACCGCGTTCTAAGCGCGGGAAATATGTAGTTAAGATCAACAACACGATCATTTAGACTAATAGTTATGGTCTGGAAAACAGTGAAAACGCTTTTCGCCTTTCCCTATAAGAATGACTCAAAACTCATTTAAGAGTGATTGTCAGTAAAAATCAAAGAAATCGTGGCCACGTTCAAAAAATCGATTTCGCTCATACTTTGTCAGTTTGAAGGCCTAGGTAAGTAACTGAAGGATATGAGGTTAGTTTTTTGAAATATTCCATATAACGGCAGAAAACCACGAAAAACGGTCACCATACCGGAAGCTCGGATTTCACCTGGCGGAAACTCGAAATTTTACACTTTTCAGCTTCTCGCTACACAGACGTTTACAGAGCTGTGAATCTTTCTTAAGTATAATTGAATACATTGATTCTTCCTTAGTCAAACCATGGGAATTATTTTTATCTCTGCTTATTTGTGAGCGAACTGAGACCCGATTAAGAAGACACACTTTTCTCATTTACGCGAAGGTGTAAAGTAATCCAAACTCAGCGACGAAAAAAGCTGACCGGTAGTTCTTCAAATCTTCTGATATTATAACCAAAGACAGTTCAGTCATTGATTTTTAGGTCTACGGTTTTAAATCTTTAGGATCTAGTAGCACTTTTGCATGAACGCCGATCAAAATTCGATAAAATTCCAATTGAGCGCCTTTGAAATCTACAACTCTACATAACAATGCACTATTGAATAAATTAACTCCTCGGCCAAAGTTTGTACATAAAACATGAGGGTTTTACTTTTTTAGCGGTTTGAACCTTTTAAAAATATATATTAATGTTAAATATTGTCTACACAGGTAAAACAAACTATGAAACACCAAAATTACCACGAGCTGAAATTAAATTTGACAGGCTCGCTCCCTAATCTGCGTCACGCACGAGCGACTTCGCTACAATTAGTACAGTAACAAACAGATATCTACTTCTGTTAATTTACAATAAGTCTTATTTTAAAATATCTTACTCAACGATGTGCCAGGTTCCCCAGTTAACTTGCTGAAGTAAAAATAAAAGAAAATATCATAATAGCAATTCAAACTGAAACGATAAGAATTGATTTTATTAAGAATGAGAAGCTTTATGCCGTCGATAGCCAATCAGAAGTACCTGTTCTCACGAAAATTGCATCGTTCTTTAAATAAATAAATCGAATTATCTTTATCTGTGAAACATTGCATCTAAAACCAGAGTTCATTGTCGGGGAACTTCATAGAACAGCGATGTCTTGCTCGTTCTTGAATATTGTTGGTGGGATTTGCGGCGCAGACGAACGCACAAGTTCTTTAACTTCCGTCACGCCTCTTACGCGGTGTAACAGGGATATCAAAAATAACAAAAAGTCGTTGAAATTTTCCGGAATTGAAACGGAGGTAGAATTAATTTTGGCAAGATGTGGATGTTTTCAAAAGCCGGCGAATTTATCGGATATGACTATCTGTCCGGTTCATCGTGCCAAGTTAGGTTTAGGTAGGCGAAGGACGGGTAATCTTTGCACCATCCCGGAAGTTGTTTCTGGTCACTGCAAGGAGCTGAGGAAGGCACCCGCACTGGAAAAAGGAATGAATTTATTCCAATCCATGAAGATATTTGAGCTTTCAAAACAGCTCGTCCCTGTGGGCTCAGTTAAGCAACCAACTACTTGATGTTCTACCAAACAGAAACTGTCTCCAATGAATTATTTTTAGTCTATTCATTCTGATGACTTGAGATTATATGAAAGAATCATTTGTTTAAACGACGGAGAGAAATAAGTAATTCGTGTAGTGTGATCGTCCGGGTGAGTGTAGTTCTGAAAAGAACTGTTGTTGGTGACTGACGTTTCGACTATCTGTGCGATAGTCATATTCAGAGTCAAGTGAGGAGTAGTTGTCAGTCGATGATGTTATAAAGTCTGGTCTGTTGAACGTGATTGGTCTGTTTAGCCGTGATGTGATTGGCTGGAAGACTCGTGTAGAGTTTGTTAACAGTCATTGGTCGGTTTCGATCTGTCTGTTGTTTGTCGGTCTGTTTGTCGGTTCGTTCACGTCGTTAATGAGTCGTTTGTAAGGTGCTGGTAATTGTTGACATCTGTTGAGAGGCGTCTGTTCTAAGTTAGTGAACCAGCTTTCCAGAGTCAGTCGTTGAAAATAGTTTGTACTGTAGGTTAAGCATTTAGCAGAATCCCAGTCGATTCTGTGATTAGAAATAAGTAAGGTTGATGAAGGACATTTCGTTACTTATCTCTTCATCCAGTTGTCCAATCCAATTTTTTTATAACAACCTTTATTTCATGCCTCTCATTTTTTTATGGATTGCACTTATATTAGTGTGTGCACTGTATAGTGCCCTACCCACTTTGTCGCCAGGTATGTGAGTGAGTGAGTGAGTGAGTGCCGGTGTCCGTAAACAAACAGGTCCGCAGCGCGTGCACAGCACTACCCACATGTATACAAGGAGTTCCTATTTTTTATCAGTATCTCTCAGTTCGTACGCGGGGTGTGATTGGTCAATTTTGCGCGGCCCACTAAACTTTAACTAGTTTCCCTTCCCACGCGCCCGATTGACCTCAGAGACATAATGAATATCGTACTAACCTCGTTTCACGGTCTGTAACTTACAGTACGCACCTGGAATTCGGTTAGTAGGGGTTAATTTACTTTGTTTAAAACATTTCAATTTCGTTTCGCAAAAAGCCACTTGAGAAAGATATAAACAATAAACAAAAAAAAGGATAGTCTAATCACAATGCTACTCCCCCCCCCCCTCCTTCTCACCTCTTATCGCGCAGTCAACTTTCGATTGTTATTTTATTCTGTGGGTCGACAAAACTTCAGACTTTTGTGTTAAAAAAAAACGCGCGCCTTTCAGTAATTTCGGAGTTTTGACGGGAGTTTGACTATGTTTTTCTAAAGGAATTTGCGTAAAATGCAGAAAGATGCTTAGTGTGTATGAGGAAAGAGCACCTGAGAAATGTTCACAATGTCTGTGTCTCACCTTCTTGAAAGATGGCTTAGTACTCAATTTCTGCGATGGGGATCAACCACTTCAAGAGTTTCCGGGACCTGCAAAACTCCTTCAAACTGAGACCACGGTAGCAACTTTCCAGGACCCACATTAATTTCGTTCTCCTCATACTTGAAGTTGTTGAGTAAGCTTACACCATCCCATTTGACGTGCCGAGTGCTTGACGGGTTGAATGTAACGTAACTAGCCTTAGCACAAGATCCTGGACCAGACTCTATGGCTGTTTTGAGCTGAATTGCTGTTGTCACATCATTGCCCTCGTTTACATATCTTCCAATGTCTCCTTTAATAGTCACTGCTTGGCGGTCGCATATTCCTTTTCCACCTTGAGGATCGGAAAAGTCGTTCCGTTCCACGCCCACGCCAGCAAAAAAAATATATATTCCAATTCCAGTGCGGCTACTTTTCACAGCTCTTACTGAGTGACCCGAAACAACTTCCTGTATGGTGCAAAAATTAATACTTTTGAACATGATGTATTACTCAGTAAGTGACACAGGCATAATAGGAAAAAAAATCCGAGTGCTTCATGGGACAAACATCCTGCATACTGCTAGGATTGGAATGTCATGTGTGGCATACGCGCAATGGAATAAATGTGATGGAATATTTTTAAGCCTGGTGAATAAATGAGAATGATGTATTATTCAGTAAGTGACACAGGCGTACTCGGAAAAAAAGAAATCCGAGTGCTCTCGGCCATCAGGAGTCGAAACTATCGACATCGTGTCAGGTTATGCCTAAGTGACACGATGAGACGGTACGGGTAGTCATCTCCAATAAACTCGTTGGCTTTTAAAAACACGCAATCTTGCTAAAATCAATTCTGGTTCAAGTCCGGAGAGTTTTTTAGGACTTCGTGCGATGTTTTATATCCTTGTTACACAGCGTGAGCAGTGTGACGAAAGCTGAGTAAGGGTAGAAATTAGCCATTGGAAGTTACTTAGCAAGTGCGTTCGTCTGCGCCGCAAATCCCACCGACAATATTCAAGAACGAGCAAGACGTCGTTGTTATGTATGTCTATTAACTTCGCCAACAACATACTCTGGTTATATGGTTAAGTAGATTTGTTTATTTAGAGAACGATGCAATATTTGCTTTTCGTGGAAACAGTTACTTCCGATTGGTTTTCGACGGCACAAAACTTCTCATACTAAATAAAATCAATTCTAATTGAGCTAGAATTACTATTAAGGTTTCCTTTTTTTTTCAGCAAGTTAACTGGGAAACCTGGCACATCTTTGAGTAAAATATTTTAAAAATACGACTTATTTAAAATCAACGGATGTAAATATCTGTTTGTTACCGTTCTAATTGTAGCTAAGTCGCTCGTGCGTGACGCAGATTAGGGAGCGAGCCTGTCAAATTTAATTTCAGCTCGTGGTAATTTTGGTGTTTCATAGTTTGTTTTACCTGTGTAGACAATATTTAACATTAATATATATTTTTAAAACGCTTCAAACCGCTAAAAAAGGAAAACCCTTATGTTTTATGTACAAACTTTGGCCGAGGAGTTAATTTATTCAATAGTGCTTTGTTATGTAGAGTTGTAGATTTCAAAGGCGCTCAATTGGAATTTTATCGAATTTTGATCGGCGTTCATGCAAAAGCGCTACTAGATCCTAAAGATTTAAAACCGTAGACCTAAAAATCAATGACTGAACTGTCTTTGGTTATAATATCAGAAGATTTGAAGAACTACCGGTCAGCTTTTTTTTTCGTCGCTGAGTTTGGATTACTTTACACCTTCGCGTAAATGAGAAAAGTGTGTCTTCTTAATCGGGTCTCAGTTCGCTCACAAATAAGCAGAGATAAAAAATAATTCCCATGGTTTGACTAAGGAAGAATCAATGTATTCAATTATACTTAAGAAAGATTCACAGCTATGTAAACGTCTGTGTAGCGAGAAGCTGAAAAGTGTAAAATTTCGAGTTTCCGCCAGGTGAAATCCGAGCTTCCGGTAGGGTGACCGTTTTTCGTGGTTTTCTGCCGTTATATGGAATATTTCAAAAAACTAACCTCATATCCTTCAGTTACTTACCTAGGCCTTCAAACTGACAAAGTATGAGCGCAATCGATTTTTTGACCGTGGCCACGTTTTTTGAATTTTCCTTGATTTTTACTGACATTTACTCTTAAGACTTTACAGGAAGCTTTGCTCCTTTCTCTGGAAGAAAAGCTAATAGATGACGAAGAATTTGCCGTGCTGTATGAAGAATTCACTCCCCAAAACCTTCCGTTTCGCCACTGGGATTATGAAAAATTTTCCCTCGAAAACAAAGACCCCGCAGAGTGTAAGGCAGACTTCAGATTTGAAAAGAGTGACATCTCATTGTTGGTGGATGTTTTACAGATGCCTGATACCTTCACATGCCCGAATGGTACCGTTTGTGATTCAACAGAAGGACTTTGTGTTATACTAAAGCGTTTTAGCTATCCATGTAGGTTGTCTGATATGATTTCTACTTTTGGTCGATCAGTACCCGAGCTCAGCATGATTAGCAACGAAGTTACTGAATGGATGTACAATGCTCATGGCCACAGGATTACCGAATGGAATCATTTCATTATGTCTCCTAACCTACTGCAAACTTACTCTGTAGCAATTCATGACAAAGGTGCCGCCTTGGACAACTGTTTCGGCTTTGTTGATGGAACAGTTCGTCCCATATCAAAACCAGGAGTCAATCAAAGAGCTGTTTATAATGGCCACAAGCGTGTTCACGCTCTTAAATTTCAATCCTTGGCCCTACCAAATGGATTGATTGGCAATCTGTTTGGACCAGTAGGTAACGGTATATTCATTCATTTTTTATAGTGGGATAGTGCCGTAGCTGTTTTCACTTGGATAGACATTTTTATCACTTATGTGAAGTTAAAAGTTAGATTGATTTCTTTTCTCTCTAACGTTTCTTGATGACTTCCTCCTGGTCTCTCAAATCAGAGGTATTTTCAGTAGCTCCCACTCCCAATTTTTATTAGAGGAACTAGTTTTCCTGTCACCACAGACCAATAAATTCTAAACTCTGACTTACAGGCCATAAGTACCTAGACTGCAAGAATAATAGCCAGCCAATCCTATGTTGTTTTTGGCCTAATCACTTACTAAGCTAATCAATGGTCTACATAGGTAACAGTTTGTCAGCCAGCCAATGTGTAACTGATTGTGGTTCAAAAATTATTTTTTTTGCCCTTGTTCAGAGGGACGAATGCATGATGCAAGAATGCTGGACACATCTGGCCTTTATGTTGACCTGGCACAGTTCGCCTTTTCTCCTGCTGGACAAGAGATGTGTATCTACGGGGATCTGGCATATCCTCTACGTACCCATCTGCAGTGCCCCTTCAGACATGGGGTGTTAACAAGACAAATGGAAGAGTTTAATGCATCTATGAGTTCTGTACGTACAAGTGTGGAATGGTTGTTTGGAGACCTTATAAATTATTTCAAGTTTCTCGACTACAAAAAAAATCTCAAAATTGGCCTTAGTCGTGTAGGAAAAATGTACATTGTTTGTGCACTTTTGCGGAATGCTTTAACATGTCTTTACCGCAATACGACTGCTGACTACTTTGGCCTTGATCCACCACCACTAATCGATTACTTTAGCTAAAATACTGTAACAAAAACACCTGTCAATGCCTTAGTTTGCATAAAATCTTGCATAAAATCCTGATTGAACAGTCTGTGGGAATGTTACGACAAGCAGATCTAAACAAAGGGGTGGCAAATAACACTTTGAGTTCAACATTTTGTGAAAATGTAAATCTTAAACATGTAAACATTGAGAAATAAAAATTTAATGTCTACTTGTTAAGCATTTTACTCATGACGCCCATGACCTGCTGCATTATGAGCATTTGTTGCTGCTGGAATTGTTGCTGTTGCTGTTGATTTTGCAGTTGTTGCTGCTGGAACTGTTGCTGTTGTTGCTGGAACTGTTGCTGTTGTTGCTGATTTTGCAGTTGTTGCTGGTGCATTAGCTTCAGCATATCAGCCTGTTGTTGTTGCACTTGAAGTTGTTGTTCCTGTCTTCCCTTTTCCAGCTCAAGTTCCTTTTCTCTAATTTCTGCAGACTTCTGTGCTCTTTCCTTTAGAAACTCCATGGCATCTCCAGTTTTTCTTCTTGTTCGTTTTGGTTTGTCCTCACCCTCTTTGGCTCCCTCTGAAGCCCTTTTTTTGCTTTGGGAAAGCCTTTCCATAGCTTTCATTCTTGCATCTTCTGCTTTACCTTTGTCAGCTTTATCCTTACTACATGTATCTGTGGGAGAACTCTCTTCAAGTGCAATAATTTGCTGTATTAGGTCATCTAATTCACTTGGCTCATCTGGGGATATTCCTGATGCTCTTTCTTCAGCTCTGATTTTTTTCTTGTACTTGTTTACCAAGACATTAATGTGGTCCCGGATGGCTCTGTGGTCAACATTAAATTGTGGGGAATCACATTTGTTTAGAACATCTACAATTTTCTTCCAAGTTTCACTGCGCTGGGGAGTCCCCTTTTTGTATACATAGGGATTTTGAAACACTACTTCTCTGCACAGTATAATATTGTGCTGTTCAGTCCAGTACATTACATTGCTATGTGAAAATAAAAACAAAGAGAATATTAGAATAAAATTCACTCCAAAAAAACCCTTTCTTTTGAATTGAAACTAAATGTTATTAATCTCAAAGCTAATTTTTATGCTTGTTCAAAAAAGTGAGATTTTTCTTTAATGACATCTAAAGCTCACAAATCTAAAGAGCGGCCTTGCTGAGTGAGGGAGACCTCACCCATAACTTAACACTTTCAGGATTAACAGCAGTGGAATAATGCATTCAAAGCCTGACCAAAGATTCACATTATCAAAACTTCATATGAGATAGGCAACAACATCTAACCTCAAATAAAATCTCTTTTTAGTTCTGATTTTTCTTGGTTTGTTTTCAGTTCAGAGTATTATCTAAAACTTGGCTCGTTAGTAACGATTTCAAAGAAATAAAAAATGGAAATAACACAATGGCAGAAATGTCAGTCTTACCTTTTGAAATGCTACGCTTTATGACAGTGGTCAAGGTAAAGAACTAATTAAACTTATGTTTCCTCTTATAGTCAGTATAGCGGGCGATTTTTGAAAGTTAGCTTTAATAGACTCTGTCTAGTTGAGTTTTAATCACACTCAATATCAGGAAATTCAACTTCAGATCATCATGAATTATCAAGCCTGGATCTGGTAAAGACTCAACTGATAAACAGAAAAGTCTTAGATAAATTATTTATGAAGGTAAAATCGATCATCCGTTGATGGAACAATCGATAAAGCTTTATTCTGATATTTCACATCGGAGCTCTTTGGATTAATCAAAACAAAACGAAGACCAAGTAGTATGATAAGACGCCTGATAACTAAATTGTATCATGCATGAGAATAGCCGCATGAATGTAGTAATAAATTCCTTTAACTGTGAAAGAAAATGAGACTTTGGGAAATATTTCAAGGATAATTAGATGACTTACTTTGAAGATCTGCTAGACGCCATTCACTTCACCACGAGCTTGCTCACCTTGAGGGAAGAAAACGTTTTAAACCATTCAACTTTGGTCCTTTTAGTTTCAAAAATGATGCCTAACCCATGAAGAGGCAATAAATTTTAAATTCCAATTGACAGAATAGTTGTGATAGACGGTTAATTATAGTGTTTTGCTTTAAACAACTCACGTTTTCCAGACAACGCCAAATCTCTTCAGGCCGCGTTCTCGAGTTCGGGAGAAAACGCCACGCGCATGCGCTCTTCATCCGAAATTGGAAAAATCACTTCCGGTCGCGTCTCCGACCCACCGCGTCCTCGGTTCTTAAAGTCCCTACTCTCTTAAGCGCGACGCTCAGGAAATATCGACCATTGAGTGGCAAGAGTTGAAAAATGAATTTCACTTATTTTCTGACTATAAAAAGCTACTAAGAATAGAAGAAATTTAATGTATTTCTTTTTCTTCCGGAGCGCTTTAATTCTGAGAAAACTGAGAAAAACGAATTTGACCAAGCAAGTGTGAAATTGATATTTTAAACTGACTTTTGGTCTTCAAGGAAAAACGATTCAAAGGATCATAACACCGAATTTTGATAGAGTGAGTGCCCTACTTTCCCAGAAACTATATAATAGTCTGTATAATTCAGATTTTCCTTTTAACTATGTCATTAGAGGGATTTAAGGTTTTCCTTGATAATATGTTAGCGAAGGTTTTGAAATGACAATAATTCATTCAAATTTTTTTACAACGGCTGAGTAAACAATTCTTGTTGCGTGACCGTAACGTCTAGCGGAGTTTTTACACAGCAGGCCGGAATATACACGAAAGCGTACTGAAAACGATTCTGGTGTGAGCTTTTCGTCCTTTATTTTTTATTGAAAAAAAAAGCTAATCGGCCAAAGAGAGGTTATTTTTTCCCATTGTTAAGGTGGAAGTTTTCCTTTTCAGTGTAAGATGTTTTCCCTGATAAATATCGGGATGTAATTTGATTAGCTCTCGGCTAACCTGTTTAACTTTTATACTTGTTTTTTTCCGCTTCCTTTGGTTTCAGAAGAATCGGAAGAGAAAGACATAAATCATAGATGCTTTTTTAAATTGATATTTTCTTCAATTGTGAGGATTCATTTCTATTCTTTGTTGAAGAAATGACAGAGTTGGCTAAAGCTCGAAGCAGTTTACTAGCCGTAGTAAATTGAATTAGTCAATTAAATGCAAAGAGGGAATATTTAATTAGCGAAGTTGGAGTGAATTTGTTTTGCCAGTTTTGTGTCATCATGGACGTTAAGTGCTCTTTTAGCTCCTTAGTCGGCGGTTCTTGCTCCTATGACCCCAGAGATAGGAGCAGATCAACTGAGGTTATTCCATTTCTGGACTGCAAAAGAGACATCGCGGGTCATAAGTCTTCCTTGTCAATAACTGACGTAGAAACCGAAATCGAACTTATTTTGGGAAGAGTACCTACATCCTTTTCTTCGGAGTTAGACCTTTCGGAATTAACGATTTGTCCCCGGCACCGCTCATCCCTTGGTATTGGGTGGCGTCGAGGATCGAGTTCCTCCGCCAATCTCGAAGCACGGCGGACAAGCCCAAAAAACCCAAAGGCAGAAAGAGGACTTGGCAAAAGTGCTTGTTATTTGATATGGAAGAAACTGGGAATTTTTATTCCAGTTGGTTCAGGTATGTATACATCATTTTTCATCTTTTTCAACCAAACAGACCAGCTCTAAAATGGCGGTCCAATCTGACACTTCGATTAAAGCACTTTGTAAGCACTTTTCTTTTTTTTTTGTTTTGACTTTTTCAATAATTAAGTAGCCGTGACGGTGGCAAATTCAATAGCCTTTGTTTATTTGCGTGTTTCTTTTCCTTCCATTATTCTAACATTTTATATTAGTGATTGTAGCAGCAAAAAGGTAAATTTAGAAGCCTTCACCGGACTCCTAAAATTACAGCTTTTTAAAGCAGATTCCCTGATGGCTTATAGATAGTTACAGGGAGACTCAGCCCCTAAAGGGTACCTTTATCAGGCTTCAGGTATATCAAAAGGTAGGGAATTGAAGAGTTGAAGTATAGGAAAGGGCAGGAAAATCTATCATTTAAGTTTTTTAAAACAGGTTCCCTTACTTGTGTAAATTAAGACCGTAGTTGTTCAGAATAGTGATTATATCGTATCAGCAAAAACCTGCATTTTCCATCGATTCACTCAACAGGTATTTGTCGCAACTGCCGGATAAATCTTGACATGCAGAAAATAGGGGAGGTGTCCACAAAGCTTCCGGAGACCAAGAACCTTTCTTACGAGGAAACTGAGACCATTGAGACTTCTTTAAGTTCTGAACTGGCACTCAATGGAAATAGTGTTATTAACAGTGGCACCAAACAAGGCCCGCGGGGCAAAAAAGATTAAAAAAAAAATGGATAGGGACCTTATTATCACAAAGTCTGCATGAGCGGGCCCCGTTTCCTTACTGCCTTTCCTTGAAATGTAACGAATAGGGATAGAGAGCACAAATTAACCGATTTCGTAGACCTCAGACTGTGTGCTGGTATCCAAGAAAACAATGCCATATGCTTATTTTGTGCCTTCTACGTCATTTTTTCCTGAGTTCCGCAGATAATGAAGAGGTTTAAAACTCCGTGCATTTTATGTCGCCCTTGCGTCTGCACACAGTTGAAATTTATTTAGCAGATTTTCTATTTTTATTCTCACCAAAATCTGAGAACTTGAAGCAGTGGCAGCAAGTTAAAGACCACGTAGTCCGCGATGGTAAGCTGAGGCCAAATTGTTCTATTAAGAATAAAGGGTTCATTTAAAAAAACTGCATTTTTGCTTCCACTTGCCCCCGCCTACGCACACGCATCCCTCCACCTTATACCGCCAGGGATACGAGTTCATGTGATTTTCTCAAGGTTAAGGATACTGTGAATAACGCCCAGAAAAACGTTTCGGCTTTCCAATATACCACTCCGGGTTCCTTTACTACTCGCTTTAAAGTTCGTACTTATTTGTCATAATGAAAGGTATTTTATGTAATAAATTAGGCACTTTTTATCATAAATGAAGGCAGCAAAAAAGGTTTTATTTTTAGTCCATAATAAAGGCAACAAAGCTCAGGAGGGATTATTGATCTTTGTCTAAGTTTTGGTTAACTTTGATAATTATGTACCCAATTAATTTTTTTAATACAGTTTACGTTATATTTATTTTGCGTCCTTGTCTAGGGCGTGATGTGTAACCTTCCAATTGCTGCAAGTACTCCTTGTTCGGTGGTAGCACATGACTTACTTTACCATCAACCCTCCTAGAAGAAACCGAGACAAGCACTACAGGAATGAAGTTGGAAGAACCTATTGACCACCTTAGCGCAAAGCCAAGCAAGCGGTTTCAGCTGTTCTTGGTGAAATAGCGCCTAATGATCTAGATCTTCTCTGGGAATCTATTATGTCCTCAAAACAAAATGAAACTGGAAATCACACTTGTTCTAGTGGTTTGGATAAAGAATTGATGTACACGCTGGCAAACTGCTACAAAAATGCAAACGAAAGGGATTTTCGCAGGCAGATATTGTCCATAATGGCTGATAAGGTTAGCTTGGCAACAATTCAACAGTGAATCCCAGGCCTGACAAGTTATCGGTTTAAGGTCGCCAGGCAGCATGATGCAGTCCATGGCAGTGGAAAACTGGTGCCTGCCAATGCACAAACGAAGTTATTCATACCTGAAGCAAAATTAGCGCATTTCCTAGACTTTATCACAAGCTCTCATGTAATTCAAGATCTTCCATTCGGAGCCAAGACAATAACATTGCCAACTAACGAGGCCGTCCAAGTTCCAAATGTGGTACGGAACATGATACCTGAACGAATCGTTTGCCAGTACCAAAAATATTCTGCCGAGCATGATTTCACACCCATGAGTCGCAGTACACTACTAAGAATTCTGCATGTTTGTTCCACTGCGACTCGCAAGTCATTGCAAGGGTTAGATTACGTAAGCTGTTCTGGTGCACAGGCATTTGAAGATCTTGTGAACGTTGTGCACCAGCTCGGGGAAAACGGAATGGGTCTTACATGGGCAAAAACACAAAAGGAAGCTTTAAAGGAGGCAAAGCAGTACCTCAAGACTGATTTCAAGGTAAAATAAGAAAGTGAAAAAGGGAAATAACTTTGTTGCGCGCCTGGCGTAGGTGTATTATGAATGTTACTCGACTGCCTACTAGATGAGTGCTCTCTAATTGGTTACTGCTCGCGTCTAGGTAGGTGAATAAGGGTAGATTCCCACTGTCGCGTAATTTTCAAGTGCATACACACGTAGCTTTTAGGCGCGTAATTTAAATAGAGGCAATGTTTGAAAGGTCGCACGTAAACGTAAAAGTTGAGCGAGGTCTAGCTTTTACGTTTACTCGTGGCATTCCATACGTTCTTCTATTTTATTCACACCCTTAACCCTATTTAGACCGGGAAAGGTTTGAAGCCCCCTTTGCTTAAAAGTTGATTAATTTCGAAACCACTCAAGCTTTGAGCACCAAACCCAGCGACTTTTCCTAAAAATCATCTGGGGACACCTTAATGCCGTCGTGACTTGTACGTCGGCATTGACGTTACCATGGCAACCGAGTTTTGAGAGCCATATTTTCCAAAACTTGCTGCTTTACTCATTCAATTATACCCTTACACTGTTCTCATACGCCGTCAAGAAATGCATTGTTAAAATTGTGATTCCGTGACTGATCGACTCCCCAATATCACGTTCAGTCACGAAACAAAGAGTTTAGCGTTTCAAAATGGCCAAAACTCACCCAGTTTGGCTTTTCTATCTCACTCTTTAAGTAGAAACGCAACTTTGCAACTGTAAAACCTACAAGGATTAAGAAAAATGAGTATTTGGGGATCAAATATCCACTTTCATGGATTTCGAAACTGGAAGTGTTTACACAATTACTGCCGACCCACCATGAAAATTCTTTAACTTCGATACCGATAAATGTTTAGCCAATTTTGTGACTCCGACCACAAAAACTGATATTCTAATTTTTCTAAAAAATAAAAAGCTTTTGGCGGGAACAATCCACAACAGGTATCTTATCTACCTAAAAGCTACTTATGGACAAAAAACGAAAGAAAGCGATTTTCAACTCTTGCCACGAAATTAAGATTTTGGTCGATATTTCCTGACCGTCGCTCTTAAATACGTAAAATTTTTTATCGATGATCAAAGGAAACATCGCTGACTGGTTTTTTTTTTTTTTCTCGGTGAATCATTGTTGGTTTCAAAAGATGATAACCTCTAATCTAGTTTTGAGAGGCATTACAATACATTCGAGAGCTTTTGTATTCATTCGATTACTGCGATTAATATGAAAACAAACAAACAAACAAACAAACACAAAAACAAAATTGCTCTTACCGAGTTTTTTTGTAGAGCCGAGAGGATCCTCTCCAACTCCTGAACCTTCTTTTCGATCTGCGACTTATCTGGCTGAGTAAATAGTTTAAGGTGGTACAACCCTCAAAAAATCAACATTTTTTCATATGTTGTTTTACAAAAAGTTATCTATGTCACCTGAAATGACACATAGACACATTTTATTATTGCTGCTGAGAATTAGCAAATGATGCCTCCCAATGGGCAACCGAACAAGAACAGCCATATCTCTTTAACATTAGATTAAAAATTCACAAAATTTTTAGACAATGATCTTCACATGCAACTGCATGCAATGAACTACCGAAACAACTCTCAGTCATATAGAATGGAAAATATTAAAGAAAACACAACAACTTTCAGGAATTGATAAGATGAGCAATCTCATTTTGGTCATTTAACAACAAAAGATGCACCTAAGTACATGTTTCTAGTTCGTTGAATGCAAAAATATACCGAGATCTCTCACTCCAAAAATGAGAAGAATTGAATAAAACCCTGGAAAGTTATCTTTGTTAGCGTGTCGGTAGTTTCACAAAATTCAAAATTGAGAGAAAACTGGTTTAAAGTTTCTAAACTGATTTTTTCAAGACTTAAACACAGTTTCCATGAATTGAACTATTCAAAACTGACCAGGGCCATAGCTGACACCTTCAGTTTGCTTATTATGATCATCTTTTCGTTTTTTAAGGCCCCTAATCACTTTGCATCGCTTCTTGGTAGTAGCTTTGCTTTTATGTTGTGCAAAATTAACTCTAAGCTGGTCTTGAAACCATCCTTAGTATATTTGCCAGGAGGAATACCAAGGGCTTGGAAAAGCTTAATTATACTAATTGAACCAATATTAAGATAAGAAACAGCATCATAAAGTCCTTATTCCAATGTCTCTCTTCCAACATAAATTTCTTTTGGAATCCTTTGCCATGTAAGCATCTTGCCATGTAAGCACTTCTGCAGCAAGTTGTTATCACTAAGTCGAATATATTCAGGCTTTAACATGGCAATAACAGGTAAAGAAAGGCCATGTCCATGCTTAAAGAGATTTGTATGGTTGGCTTTGTCCTTTTGATACTTGCACCAACTTGCACTACTTATTGGGCAGTGGTCATGAAGTGGGCATGCCTCACTTGAGGCACAATGCATGAGGCTAGCATGGATAGCTTTCTTCATTCCAGCCAAATTTCCAACATTGAACCTTATGGCAATGCCATAATAGTTCTGCAGTTTATCAATTAGATTGTCTGTGAGTTACCCTTTGCCTCCAAGGCCTGGATTGTCACACTTTAATTTGCGAAGTGCAGTTCCAACCCTCTTCTGCACGTGACCGATGCATTCTTTCTTTTCCACTAAAATTCCAGCATCTTGATAAATATTCTTTATCCTGGAAATACTCTTGCTGTCCCCATCCCCATCCCCATAAAATTCAGTGTACCTGAGATTGTGCAGCTCAACAGACCTTTGATATAGTTGATTGAAGCTTTCGATACGAAGCCGAAGATTCCTTCGCTTTGCTTTGATCACGTGAAATGCCGTCTGTGGATTCACGTATCACACTCGAAGTGCTTTCGACAGCAACCGACTCTTCTTCGTTAATTCTTGGACTATTTGTAAAGCGATTTCCATAAAATTTACGCTTCTTACGTCTCTGAGACAAAAATTTCGGCATTTTGATGATTGAAGCTCTCTCGCTTGCGAAAATTCCTAACTGAATGATTGATAATAACGGCCGTTCACCGAAACATATCAAAACAAGGCTGAAAGTCACTGTTGGGCCCCAGTCTCCCAATAGATTACTCAAGATGCAATCAGCTTGCTTTGGCCTGGATGGAAATCTCACTTTAGGCCCTAAAAGGACGCATTTAAAAATGCGTTTCCATGGCAACGGAACAACAGTGCCTTAGAAATTGCAT